AGAGGAAGGGATTCGCGAAGGGCGTTTGATTAAGGAAGGGAGTCCATCCAGCAGTGCTAAGAAGTTTGGGAGTGTGTTCCCGAAAAGAAAAGAGCAAGATGTCAGCGCTTTGTTTCCAGGTAGACCTAGGAGGGGGTACTCTCACGTTGCGGCAGTCACTCCGGCTGTCCGCCCAGCTTTGATGACCCCAGCTCATCAAACCCCACCGCCTCAACAACGGCCTTTTCAGCAGCAGCCTCGACAACAGGTTTATCCGTTCAACAATCAGAACCGTTCACCCAGAAAACCGCAGTTCGATGCCATTCCTATGACGTATACTGAATTATTCCCTGCTCTTGTCAGAAAGAATCTCATCACGACAAAGCCTCCTCCTGTCGCACCGAACAGTACTTCTCCGTGGTACAAGGCGGATCAGTTTTGTGAATACCATCAAGGGTCACCGGGGCACAACCTTGAGAATTGCTTTGCTCTGAAGGCGGACGTACAGAGATTAATTAAGAATGGTATCTTGTCTTTCAAGGATGTTAATCCAAATGTCAGAGATAATCCTTTGCCTCGACATGGGGCAGCTTCAGTAAATATGGTGGAAGGTTGTCCGGGGAAGTTTCGAGTTTTTCAAGTTGAACACATAAGAGAGCCGTTGATCAGGTTACATCAGAGTTTGAGAAGACTTGCCTTTGTTAGGCACCAGCATGATTATGATGTTTGTGAGTTTTGTTCAAGAGAGGATGATTGTCCTATTGTGAAGGAGGATATTCAGAGGTTGCTAGATCAGAGAGTTATCACTATTACCTATGACCGAAATCCAGAAGATGAAGTGAATGTTATCATACCACAATTTAATCTGCCTAAATCAGTAGAGATTGCTTATGACAGTCAGATTGCACCCGTTGATCCTTTGGTTATTTACCCACCTGGCCCTGTACCTTACAATTCAGACCAAGCTGTGCCGTACAAGTATAATGCCACAATGATTGAGAATGGGGTAGAAGTCCCCATACCAACGAGACCGTCTTTTGTTAACATTGCTAATTAGAGTAGAGTTACAAGAAGTGGGCATGTTTTTGCAGCAGTACCTTCGAAGAGACCGGAATTTCAAGTTAGGAGGCCCATGCCGGCGGAGATTCCGGTGAGAAATGTTGAACCAAGGGTTGAGATAGGCCGATCCAGTGAACCTATCTCTCACCCTGAGGATGATGAGATCCTGAAGCTTATCAAAAGGAGTGAGTATAAGATTGTGGACCAGCTTTTGCAAACACCTTCCAAGATTTCCTTGCTTGCCTTATTGAGAGATTCTGGTGCGCATAGAGAAGCCTTGATGAAGGTCTTGGACCAGGCGTTCGTGGACCATGATGTGACGGTTGATCAGTTTGATGGGATTGTGGGAAATATAACTTTGTGTAACAATCTTGGTTTCAGTGATGAAGAGCTCCCAGAGGAGGGGAGAAACCATAATATGGCTTTACACATCTCAGTAAGTTGTGGAAATGATACCTTATCAAGCGTGTTGGTGGATACAGGCTCATCGTTGAATGTGATGCCCAAGACTATGTTATCTCGGCTCTCATATCCAGGTGCTCCTATGAGACCCAGTGGAGTAATTGTTAAAGCGTTTGATGGTTCTAGGAAGACAGTCATTGGTGAAGTGGATCTTCCTATAGTGATTGGTCCCCATACTTTTCAAATCACTTTCCAAGTGATGGATATCCGTGCTGCCTACAGCTGTTTATTGGGTCGTCCCTGGATCCATGATGCCGGGGCAGTCACCTCTACGCTTCATCAGAGACTAAAGTTTGTAAGGCATGGGAAGCTAGTGATGATTGGGGGAGAGCAAGCTATGGTGGTAAGCCATTTATCATCATTTTCTTTTATTGATGCGGACGAAGATGTTGGAACCCAGTTCCAAGGTCTTTCTGTTGCTAAGAGTACAGTGAGGAAGCAAGGGGCATCCATCTCTTCTTTTGAGGATGCGCGGCGAGTGCTGGAAAGTGGTTCGGCCGAAGGATGGGGCCAGGTGTTGACGTTACCCGAGAACAAGTCTAGGGAAGGTATGGGTTTTCATCCAGTATCTGCAAGGGTCAAGAAAGAGGTGGTTGTTCGTCCGATTCAAGAGGTTTTCCGAAGTGCAGGGTTTGTACATCCTGAGGTTGATGCTATCATAGATGATGATTCCGAGGAGGATTTTCCCGTTTTTGTGACGCCTGGATTGGCTTGCCAAAACTGGATAGCTGTTGTTGTTCCTGTGGTTATGCACATTTCCGAGTAATGTTTTGTTTATTTTCCTTTCAAAAAAATTTGCTCTGCCCAAGGCGAAACGTATTTTGTGTCGGGCTATGAAAAATAATTCCTTTTGCTCTGCCCAAGGCAAAAGAGAAATGTCTGGGCTCTTTGTTTCAAGTATTTCCCTTTAATGAATAAAAATGTTATTATGTCCACTACTGTTTTATTTTTCACTTTTGGGGAAATAGTAATGAAATTAATTAATAACATTTTGTTTTATTTGCACAAATCGATTTCTAAAATAAAGCATAATCATATGTGCAGATTAATCCATGACTTAACCATCAAAAACAATGATCTTATGCCCTCTCCCAACTTTGAATTCCCTGTGTTCAGAGCCGAAGAAGAGGATGACGAAGAGATTCCTGTTGAGATTTCCCGTTTGCTTGAACATGATGAGAAGATTATTCAACCATTTGAAGAACCTGTAGAGTTGGTCAACTTGGGTGATGAAGAAGATAGAAAGGAAGTCAAAGTCGGAGCATTGCTTATCCCGGAAGTTAAAGAGAAAATGTTGGAGCTTCTCAAAGAGTATGTTGATGTGTTTGCTTGGTCCTACCAAGATATGCCAAGTTTGGACAATGACATTATGGAACATCGTTTACCGTTGAGACCTGAATGTTCGCCGATCAAGCAAAAGTTGAGAAGGACTCGTCCCGACATGGCTGACAAGATCAAAGAGGAGGTTCAAAAGCAGATTAATGCAGGTTTCCTTGTTACATCGGTCTATCCTCAGTGGTTAGCCAACATAGTTCCTGTTGCAAAGAAGGATGGTAAAGTTCGGATGTGTGTAGACTACAGAGATCTGAATAGAGCTAGTCCGAAGGATGACTTCCCATTACCTCATATTGACGTATTGGTCGACAGTACCGCCAAGTTCAAAGTCTTTTCTTTCATGGATGGTTTTTCTGGTTACAACCAAATCAAGATGGCGCCGGAAGATATGGAGAAGACCGCTTTCATTACACCTTGGGGAACTTTCTGTTATCGGGTTATGCCGTTTGGTTTGAGGAATGCTGGCGCAACATACCAAAGGGCCATGACTGCTTTGTTCCATGATATGATGCATAAAGAGATCGAAGTGTATGTGGATGACATGATTGCCAAATCACAGACTGAGGAGGATCATTTGGAACATTTGTTGAAGTTATTCCAGCGTTTGAGGAAGTACAAACTCCGTCTGAATCCCAACAAGTGCACTTTTGGTGTTCGTTCTGGAAGACTTCTGGGTTTCATTGTCAGTCAGAAAGGTATTGAGGTAGATCCTGATAAAGTCAAAGCTATTCGGGAAATGCCCGCACCCAAGACGGAAAAACAAGTAAGAGGATTCCTTGGGAGATTGAATTATATTTCTAGATTTATATCTCATATGACTGCCACCTGTGGGCCGATTTTCAAGCTTCTCCGAAAGAACCAAGGATGTGTGTGGACAGAAGATTGTCAGAGAGCTTTTGATAGCATCAAAGAATATTTGCTTGAACCTCCCATTTTGATTCCTCCAGTGGAAGGAAGACCTTTGATTATGTACCTGACTATATTGGAAGATTCCATGGGATGTGTGCTTGGTCAACAAGATGAGACTGGAAGAAAGGAACATGCGGTATATTATCTGAGTAAGAAATTCACGGACTGTGAGTCTCGATACTCATTGCTTGAGAAAACCTGTTGTGCTCTAGCTTGGGCTGCTCGCCGTTTGCGCCAGTATATGATTAATCACATCACTTGGTTGATCTCCAAAATGGATCCGATCAAGTATATCTTTGAGAAGCCCGCCTTATCTGGAAGAATAGCCCATTGGCAGATGTTGTTATCTGAATATGATATTGAGTATCACACTCAGAAAGCGATCAAAGGAAGTATTTTAGCCGATCATTTGGCTCACCAACCAATTGACGATTATCAATCCATCAAGTTTGATTTCCCAGATGAAGGTATACAAGATATACAATTAGGACGCTTAATAATCCCTCAAGAGCAAACTTAAAGATAAAAAACAATAGAAGAAATACCCAACTCTAATGCGTGATCTTGATGTATTGATAAAAAATGAGATAATGAAGAATCTTAGGGACAAAAATTAGGGTAAAACACTTAGTATACAAGATAGTTGTATATAAATAGTCATATTGTAAATCAATTTTTATTCATTTAATATTAATCTTTTTTTTCTTTTTTTTTTCTTTCTCTAATCACTAAAAATGTCTTATGCACTCATATTGAAATCATATCTTATTAAAGATGATTGACGTCTTAATTGTCACCGTTTAGGTTTATAATATAGTATAAACTGAGTACGTCTTCATTTTGTTAGTATTTTAAATTTTAGTTTATCTTGCATATTAGTCGTAATTATTTCAGAATTTGTGTTGCTTTTGTTGTTCCACTTAAAAAGAATTTCATCCATATTCTGTCAGCCATTGGATTAATCATGACATCTCTGCCGTGACTAAAATTGTGTGAACAAAATTCCACCTTACGAATTTGTGATGGATTCACGACTTAAAACATGAAATGAAAAATTAGTACAAAGTCACGCAACGCAATACACACTTTGTGGTCAATTTCTCAAGTCTTCTATAGTCAATATTCCAAGTCAAGTCAAGTCAACTGCCGTAATGAACGCACCCAAATAGCACAGCACACAATTCCTACAAAATTATATTTTATATAACCCATATTCATACTTACTTGGCTCCTGAATTAATCTTAACATTTTTTTAATGGCTACCTATTTTATGTTCCGTTTTGTTTTATTATCCTCTTATTTTCTGCTTCTTCTCTCTGCTGCATCTTATTCAGAATACGATAAAGAATGTGTAATAGGAAGAAACACTTGGTGTGGATATCTTGGGGAATTCCCCCTTCTCTCCTCCTTCACTACCGTTAATAAAAGCGAATGTGGGTTTTACATAAGTGGTTGTGACAATAACACTTCGGAGAAAAAAATCCTTCTCAAAAACCAAATGTATATAGTTGTTAGCATGAATCATATGCACAATTCAATTATCATCTATGACCCAAGTTCTTCTGAATTAGATTTAGAATCAGTTAAGAATACGCCAACACCATTCAGCCTTAAAACTATTAACTTCTATGGATGCTATCAAGCCCATCACAATATCCATGAAAACAAGTTCAAATATAAAAACTGTTCAAATTATGATATCTACTTTACTTATAAACCTAGTTATTCCGTTTTGCCTATTTTCCCATTTCCATTTTTACCAGGTCCAGTGGTAAGTAAATTATCATCAGACTATCCCCCTAACGGTTGTGCGCGTTTAAATTCAGCATTCGAACTTGAAATAGATATAGAGTTTTGTGCAGGCTGTTCTATTGCAGGAGGCTTATGTCTATCAGATCAGGAAATTTTAACTATCAATTGTGTCTCTGGTAAATACTTTTTTTCATTTGCTCGTTCTTTTCTTTATGACTCGTTTGTTTTCTTCTAAACCCAAGATTATTTTTGTCTTAAAGAAAACGAACAGCATTTTAAAACTTTGAGCGAAGATTATTCCCGTCTTGAAAGAAAGGAACGGCATTTGAAAGCTGCAGTAAGAGGTACTATATTGCTACTTCATTGCCGAACCATTAGAAAAAAATTGTTAATTTCTTGTAAATCTAACTGCTTTAAAAGTTGCTGAGCTGCATCAAAGCAACTGCTATAGAATCGAAGTTTGAAATTGAGATTTTGAATCCTATGGTGTTTCTTTTCTTTTCATAAAGATGCTTATAAATTTAATCTTATTATATTTATGTACACGTGGATGGATGTTACATAGTGCATAGATTGATTGATCTAGCTTTATATATCTGACACAGGTTTATCTATTGGACTGGCAACTGTGATAGCAATTGCCTTGTTTGTTATAATTTTACTTTTGTACTATCGGAGAATCAAATCTTCAGGCCTCAAAAACCAATCAAGAGCTAATTATCGCGGTCTTTCAAGAAATACAACAATCCCAGAAAGTGGAGCTGTCTACTTGGGGATTCCTGTCTTCTCCTATGAGGAGCTCCAAAAGGCAACAGACAATTTTAATCAAGCTAGAGAACTTGGAGAAGGAGGCTTTGGGACTGTTTACTACGGTGAGAGACTTGTTATTAGTTCTTGCACCCTTTTATACTTGAAGGATTATACCAGCTTTGTTTTAATAATTCTTGCACCCTTTTATACTTGAAGGATTATACCAGCTTTGTTTTAATAATGATAGGCCGATATTAGTTTTGTTTATACCAGCTTTGTTTTAATAATGATAGGCCGATATTAGTTTTGTCATTCTTTAACGTCAGTTATGTGCAAGTCGAGTAACATCAATTCTTAATATTGACTAACCAGGAAAGCTTGGAGATGGACGTGAAGTTGCAGTGAAGCGCCTATTCGAGCGTAGCTACAGACCAGTAGAATCATTCACAAACGAAATTCAGATCCTCACACGCATGCGCCACAGAAATCTTGTATCCCTTTATGGCTGCACTTCACGCCACAGTCGTGAGTTGCTGTTAGTGTATGAATATATCCCGAACGGCACCGTCAATAGCCATCTCCACAACAAAAAAGAAAACCAAAGCTCATCTTTACCCTGGGCTGTGAGAATGAAAATAGCCATAGAAACTGCTGGTGCATTAACTTATCTCCATGCTTCTGATGTCATTCACCGAGACGTGAAAACCAGCAACATTCTCCTTGACAACAGTTTTTGTGTTAAGGTTGCTGATTTTGGTCTTTCGAGACTGTACCCTAATGATGTCACTCACGTCTCCACAGCGCCTAGAGGAACACCGGGCTATGTTGATCCAGAATACCGGTTATGTTACCAGCTAACAAGTAAGAGTGATGTATATAGCTTTGGTGTAGTTCTTGTTGAGCTAATATCATCTTTGCCTGCAGTTGATTTCTCAAGGGATAGAGATGACATTAAGTTGGCAAATCTAGCAATAAGGAAGATTCAGAGAAGGGAATTTTCTGAGTTGATTGATCCTTCTCTTGGTTTTCAGACAGATGAGAATTTAAAAAATGTGATAAGTTGTGTTGCAGAATTGGCCTTCCGGTGTTTGCAAGATGAGAAGGAATTGAGGCCCTCTATGAGTGAAGTATTTGAGGTACTGCAGAAAATTGAAAGTGGCAAAGGTGACGCGGAGAATTATGAGGGGATTGATTTTCATCATGGAATAGGAGTAGCACAAAGTTTTGCACATCCATCACTTACAAACACTTGGATGAAGCCACAGCGCCATCAACAAACACTTTGATGAAAAGGGTATTGAGATTGATGCATCAAATATCAGTGGCTACTGATTAACCAATTAGTCTTTGAATTATAGCATTTATACTTGTTTGGGCTCGTTGAGATATTTATAAACTCTAAATTGCATTATATATAGTTCTAATCACAGAGGATCCTTGTTAATTGAAAATGATTGTAAATATATATGATTTAGCGTTGCTATTCTATGTTGGTTTTTAGACTTCAGATATTTTAAGGGTTGATAGACTGAAAATAACAATGTAAACATGTTATTACCAACCAATCCAAACTACTTATTTAAATCAAATACAAAGCTGAAGCATAATTGGATTGCGTATCTTACCTCTCATCATTGTAAAACATATATTCCTTCACCGTTACATGGTTGGATTTCAACTTTCCAGATATATATCTCATTGAAAAACTCAGCATTTATGTTCAAAGAGGCCTGTAGTTGGATTACGACACAGTTCCTGTTAAGATATAAAAGGAGTCTTTATCGACAGAACCAATCTTCATTGGCTTCAAACCATCATTCACACAAACTTCATAGTATTTTGTTTTGAAATATTATTGATTTGAATGCAAAAAGAAATCGGATCACACTCTTAAGATAGGCCACAAACAGAATCATTATCAAATATGTAATATGAACACAAGGAAAATATCTATTCATTATGGGAAATTCTCATACATCCAATTCCTATTCCCCAACATGTACATATTTATTCCGCTTTGGCATCTTGTGTGGACCAAGATACCATGTTGGCTCTAATAAAGTGGTAGCTACTAATTTATCAAAAAAAAAAAGTGGTAGCTACTAATGGTTTTACACAGGAACCAGAGAAGTTAACATTTACAAGAAACAATTAATAATAATCTTATTGCTTAGTCCTACCATATCAAATGCATGCTTAAAATGGAACCAACAAGGTCCTACCATAATTATCATATATCATCCTTTTCTTTCCCTCTCATGTCTTGTGTACAGATAAGCATGGTCCCCCAAAACAGGTACTGAAGAGAATGCACTACTATGCTGATATGAATGGGCTACCAGCATCCACTCACTCAAGTTGTGTTATTGACATAAATGTAGGTGATGTTATGTAATGATATAATTGCCAGGACCATGTGTGCATACCAAAATGAAATATTCATTGATTACCAAATACAATTGAACCATACAAATCAAAACATGGCCTTGTGCTTATTCACAGCTGCACTTTTATTTATTTTTCTAATATATATAATTCACAATTCTGATAAAATTGAGCATTTGCATGACCAACAGGAAAATTAAAAATCAGCTCAACCAAGATATGAATTGAATGTGAGAAAGGACAAATAAGAAATAAAAAGAAAATGCACATCAATGTTGTGTTAGCTGCTCTTTGTTTCCAACAGGAATCTTGTTAGATTGAGATGGTGATTGATCCCTGTCACCGCCATTTTTAGTATTAATATCACCAGCTTCTGGTTTGGGTTTTTTAGGCTCGTTTTGTGGTATAGTCCGCGTCAAAAACCTGTGTATCATCTCGTAACTGGTGAATGTAATAACAGCAGATGGAGTTGTTCTTAATAGATTAGTTGCACAACCGCGATAAAATCCTGAAATGCCTTCCTTTTGAAACACCTTCTTAGCACAGTCAATAACCCCGGCATATTGAAATCCATTACTATTTTTCACATGACCTTGCTCTTGCAGCCGGGAACGTATTACCTCGTGTGGATAAGTCATTACAGAGGCAGTTACTTTTGAAATTGATGACGCAATAGCAACATTCCCAGGACTAAGGTTGTCAACAGTTGTGTTATCTGAAATGTTTTGAACCCTCATTGGATGAGCACTACATTCATTACAATAGAGTTGCGTACTTATTTCAAGGATCACTGAATATATAAATTAGCATTTGCACCTTTTTTGGCAATGTATGACTTTATCTTTTCGTATGCTGGGAATTGAATTGCTACATGACTTACGCCAGCTAATGACGGCACAATGCCACTGCATCGAAGAATATAATAGCATCAAGATTCACAACTAAATAGTACAGAAGAAACAGGCACAAAAAAAGGTTTTGTTTCTTAGTTTTTAACTTGACATCAGGGAGAAGGTCGGGATCAAAGTTATTGAATCATCAACATATCAAATTAGAGACCCAAAAAACAGACCTATATAGTCCTCGTAGACCTTCCTCCCGTGTAATCCTCATCAAAGCGGAAAGAACACTCTTGTAAGGAACAACATTAGGCCTCATTCCTTGTGTCTGGTGGGTTTCAGAGGAAATATGGGTCAATATTTAACATAACATAAGCATGTATCGGTATCAATGAATAAGTGATATAAAGAAATCATATTTTGACAATAATCATCATTGAAACATAAAGAGATACTGCGAATACAAGTTAAAACATAAACAGAAGCAACTATTCAATATAACCAATTAGTTTCGATAGAAAGTATACCATAATAGGTAGGTAATAAACTCTAAATTTCATTTAAATAAATACAATGACAGATTCTTACAGATATATAGAAGATTGAGAGACATCAACAGTGAAAAGGACGAAGAAAAGGAACAATTATTTTACTTAGATTATAGACATGAGAAGATCTAACTCACTTGGAGTCTTGTCTTAACAACCCACAATGGGTTTGTAGATATTGCTGTTGCTGCCCCAGCACCAGCAGCAGCTATAATATTTCCCATAGTTGTGAGTTCGTTGCAACCCTCTGCAACAGTATTACCAACAAATATCGTCATAAAAGTAGTAAATCCGAAAAATGTAAATATAAACTCAGGATCTGAGAAAACCACAATAGGAGAAAAGATTTAGAAATCTATTATCATGTTTTCAATGACTCAAAAGAATAAATAGTGCATATAAAAAAAATTCATGAAGATAATGTTTACCATGTGACCGAAGCAAGCCCTTTAGTTGCTCATAACATGTGAAGTAAACCTACAGTTGAAATAAATTTATTGTCAATTGAAAAGATAAGAAATATGAAGAGAAGCTATTACAAACATATGACTAAACAACAAATGAAAGATTATTCATCTTCAGATATGAGACATGATTATTCATCTTCTGATTCTTGTCTTTGTTTGTTAATAGCTTGTGTATAACAGTATAAGAAGTTGGAATACATGAGAATGCTAAAACAATACATAACAGAATCAGAACAGAAGTGCATCTAAAGCTCTATTTCACATAACATAGCGATTTTTATTACAAAAGCCACCAGTCACAACTCAAAGACATAGTTAGAAAGGGAAAAGAGAAACTCACTGCCCAGTTTGGAAGTAATGCCAGAATTGTTGGTGAAAGGCCACGGTACATTCCCCTGAAGCCTTCAGTCCTAACTATATTTTGCAAACTCGTGACAATGACACTACCTAGGAGAACAGCTAAGGTTAGGTTCAACAAACAAGCAATCACTCGAAATCAAGTTTCAAGAATAGAATATATAAATTTCAGCCTCATGTTGTTGATACAAACACTTATTTATAGAAAAATAAATGAAACGCATTAACCTCGGCAATTATGCAAATAAAATAGGTCATGACTTCTGAATCATAATGAAATCCAACAACAACCTCAGCATTGTCCACGAGAAGAAGTGTACCTTTCTGCACAGGGGGAAGGCCATGAACTTGAAGCCGTGTCTTGATCACATCCAAAGGACACACAAAGGTAGCAGCTATTGCCCCTATAATAATATCACAATGGCAAACAAGAAATTATTGAAGTGAAGATTTAGAGAGAAACCCGTTAAAGATAAACTCAAAAATTACCAGCGGCTGCACCAGCACCAGCGTTGGAGATTAAACCCCTGATATTGTGACTAGTAGCAGAAGTTTGGCAATTGCTAGTCATATTAGAATCTAAAAGTAGCCTTTTAATGGAAATTTAAGAGAGTTAATTAACGAATTAAAAGCAAGTAGTTTCACTTAAATGATAGAAGAAGCGAATTCACATGGTAGATCTTAATCAATTGGTATCTTTATATACCATTGCATGTGATGAGGTGAAGGAAGAAAAATAGGATGCTGAATATTTGGGGCAAACGTGAGAGAAGGGTTTATTTAAGGGAAATAGAACGCGTAAATTGGGAAAGGAAAAATGAAGTGGGAAATGAAGAACCGGTTTCGAAGTTGAAGCTAGAAAGACCGGGGGAATTTGTTGGGTTCTTTCTTTGGTTGAGTCTTCTGGGGCTGAGAGCATACGATACGATGCCGGTGTCACTGTGAATTCTTCGACCAGCTTAAGATTGCCAACTCGGAATGTGAAACCCTTAACAGAATTTTCTTCATCTTGTTTTTAATTTATTTAGTCCTTATCAAAAAAAGGTTCTTTTAACATTTATACTTTTTTCTTAAAGTTTTTTTTTTTTATTTATTTAAAATATACGTATTCGTTTGTAAATCAGAAGCTCAACACAAGGCGAAGCCAAATGGAAATTGACTAGTAAACAAATATATGTGTTTTTAACATTTCTCACTAGTAAAATAATGTTACGTAACCTTTATTAATATGTCTCTCACCTGTTAAATTAGCTCATTTCGCAACATTTCACTTTTGAAAAAAAAAAAACAATATTTGTAATAACTCTTTTTAAAATATAATATGTAATTTAAAAAAAAATTAATTCAAAATTCAAAAAATTTTAAAAAATATATATATGAAGACGAAAATCAAAAACTTGATAACTTTATATTATTAGTTATTAAAAATAATATACTTACATTAAAAAAAAAATACATTACATTGTATTACTCTTCACCAATACGATATTAAAAAGTTAATTTAGATAATATCTAAACATTAATTAAATTATAAATCAGTATATTAATTAATTTTTTACACTCAATTACAATTAACCTGTTTAATATTACCATTGTTCATGCATTGTTCATGTGTTACTAGATTTTAGTGTTTAAGAATTACTTGTCTTTTTTTTTTATAATATAGAGTATTTAATGGAGTAATTGAATTGTCTTTATGACTATCATGGTGATGGTTTCCTTGTCACTTTGAGTTCATAAATGACATTGAGTGATTATAATGTTCATGTTCATGTTTCTGGTCTTAATGGTTGACTAGAATTGGGGGTCTTGGATGTAATTCGGCGGCTTGGTATATTATCCGAGATATACATCTCGGACGTACATAAGCCCCCTAAATGTGAGGCCTGGTAAGGACGAGACGTTTAAGTTATCTGGCGTCTTGGTAGGTTATCCGAAATATACATCTCGGGCGCACATAATCCCCCCAAGCAGGAGGCCTGGTAAGGGCAATATGCTTTAGTTATCTGCACTTGTTCCCAAGGTTTCATGGGGTTGTAGCGCGGTTGAATTTGGTATGTCTGGGGTGTTGTGACTTTCATTAAGGGAACGACGTCGAAATGCTTGCGATAAGTTCGCGGCAGACATTTAGAGCGCTTTGACGGGTCACTTTGGTCCATTTGTTAAGGGTTTATTTATGTTCATCTTACCATATGATCATTCAATACAAATCATTGGACTTTTGTATTCAAATCTCTGTGCTCATTATCTTTCTTTTTCTTCAAATGCATTTTTCAAAATAGCCATGTATCTTACATGCACACACACACACTCTTGCAGGTCCTCGTCCACTCTGGATCTCATTGCCAATGACTCAACTATTGCCGACTATGATTTCAAACATCCAATTAACCAAGCCGAAGACTAAGGCGGGGAAGATTGTGAGATACCAGGAGAACTAGCCAGACTTCTATTACAAGAGGAAAAAGCTATTCAACCGCATGAAGAGTCAGTTGAAGTCATCAATCTAGGTACCGAGACAGACAAGAAATAAGTCGAGATCGGAGCTAACCTAGGAAATAGTGTCAAAAACATATTGGTTCAGATGTTGCATGACTATGTGGAAGTGTTTTCTTGGTCGTATAAAGATATGCCAGGGTTGGATACCGACATTGTAGTTCATCGTCTTCCGACAAAGGAAGATTGTCCTCCTGTCAAACAAAAAGTTTATCGCATGAGGCCTGACATGTCTTAAAAGATAAAAGCTGAAGTGATGAAAAAATTTGATGCAAGATTCCTAGTTGTGACGTCTTATCTCTAATGGGTTGAAAACGTGGTGTCGGGGCCGAAGAAAGACGGAAAAGTTCGTATGTGCGTAGATTACAGGGATCTGAATAGGGCAAGCCCCAAGGATGATTTCCCTCTACCTCATATTGATGTCTTGGTCGATAACACCGCTCAACACAAAGTCTTCTCTTTCATGGATGTTTTCTTCGGCTATAATCAAATTAAGATGGCTCCTGAAGACATGGAGAAGACCACCTTTGTTACGCAATTGGGCACCTTTTGTTACAAGGTCATGCCATTCGGGTTGAAGAATGCAGGGGCAACATATCAAAGGGCTATGGAAGCTTTGTTTCATGATATGATCCATCATGAAATAGAGGTTTATGTGGATGATATGATTGCAAGGTCACAAACTGAAGAGGAACATCTCAATCGCCTATACAAGCTATTTGAGAGGCTGAAAAAGTACAAGTTGAGGTTGAACCCTAATAAGTTCATATTTGGAGTACGATCTGGAAAGATTCTAGGTTATGTTGTCAGTGGTAAAGGAATTGAAGTTGATCCTGCCAAGGTAAAGGACATCCAAGAAATTCCTGTCCCTCATTCTGAAAAGGAGGTTATAGGATTTTTGGTTCGTCTTAACTATATTGCCCGCTTCATATCTCACTTAACTGCTACTTGTGAGCCAATCTTCGAACTCTTTAAGAAAGATCAAGTAGTCAGATGGAATGAGGAATGCCAGGCTGCCTTCGACAAAATCAAACAATATCTGCAAGAACCTTCTATCCTCATGCCTCCAATTGAAGGAAGACCCTTTATCATGTACTTGATGATGCTAGAGAATTCTATGGGGTGTGTGTTGGGCCAACATGACGAGTCTGGCCGAAAAGAGCATGATATATACTACCTGAGCAAAAAGTTTACCAACTGTGAAACTAGATATTCACTTCTCGAGAAAACTTACTGCACTCTGGCATGGGCTACTCGCCGGCTAAGACAGTATATGTTGACTCATACCACTCTGTTAATTTCTAAGATGGACCCTATCAAGTACATCTTCGAGAAACCCGCTCTTTCCGGATGGATAGCTAGATGGAAAATGATCTTGACTGAGTATGATATTTAATACACAATGCAAAAGGCCATCAAAGGAAGTGCATTAGAAGATCATTTGGCCCATCAAGCTATTGATGATTATCAGTCTATGAACTTTGACTTCCCGGATGAGAATATCATGCTAGTGACTGGCTGCGTGAAACCTGGACCATATGACGGACCTGAACAAGGATCCCGATGGATTATGGTCTTCGATGGGGCTTCTAACGCTTTGGGTAACAGAATTGGTGATGTGATAATCTCCCCTGAAGTTTGCCACACTCCTTTCACCGCCAGACTATGCTTCGATTGCACGAACAACATGGCTGAGTACGAAGCATGCATTTTGGGTCTGAAAGCCGCCATTGATTTGAGGATCAAGCATTTGAATGTGTTCGGGGATTCTGCTTTAATGATTATCCAAGTAAAGGGAGATTGGAACACTAAACACCCTAATCTCATTCCTTTTAAGGAGCTTATGCTATCTCTGATTCCTTACTTCGAAGAGATCACCTTTGAACACTTCCATAGGGAAGAAAATCAGTTAGTCGATGCTTTGGCCATAATGTCTTCTATGTTCAAGGTCAAATAGGACAACGAAGCTTCTATGATTACAATTGAGAGATTTGATGGACCTGCGCACTGCTATGAGCTTAACACTGACACAGAAAAGCCATGGTACCATGAGGTGAAGAGATACCTTGAAGCACGATTATCCCGAAAGAGCTTCTATTAATGACAGAAAATTCTTACGAAGTTTCTCAGCCAAATTCTTCCTAAGTAACAAAATCTTGTACAAACACAACCATGATTCTACTCTACTCTGATGTGTGGACAAGAAGGAGGCATAGGAAATTATGGAAGACATGCATGATGGTATCTTTGGGACTCACTCTAGCGGACATACTATGGCAAAGAAAATCCTGAGAGCTGGTTACTATTGGTCAACGATGGAGACTGATTGCCATCAACACTCAAGGACTTGCCACAAGTGCCAAGTCTATGTTGATAAGGTCCATGTACCTCCTATTCCTCTAAATGTCATGACCGCTTCGTGGCCATTTGCAATGTGGGGCATTGACATGATCAGAGAGATTAAACTTACTACTTTCAATGGACATCGCTTTATTCTGGTCGCTATCGATTATTTCACCAAATGGGTCGAAGCCGCCTCATTTGCGTCAGTCACCAGGAACGTGGTAGCCATATTCATCAAACATAACCTAATATGCCGCTATGGTATCCCCGAAAGGATCATCACCGACAATGGGACTAACCTCAACAATGCTATGATTACAGAACTTTGCACTCAGTTCAAAGTCAAGCATCACAATTCTTCTCCTTATAGACCTAAAATGAATGGCGTAGTGGAAGCAGCCAACAAAAACATTAAGAAGATTGTGCAGAAGATGGTAGTGGCCTACAAAGACTGGCATGAGATGTTACCGTTTTCTCTTCATGACTATCGTACTTTAGCTTGGACATCAACTGGGGCAACTCCCTTTTCTTTGGTTTATGGCATGGAAGTTGTTCTGTCAGTGGAAGTTCAGATTCCCTCACTAAGGGTTATGAATGAGGCAGGTCTAGACGAAGATAAATGGATTCAGACAAGATTGGATCAGTTGAACTTGATCGATGAAAAGCGACTGGCTGTCGTTTGTCATGGTCAGATGTACCAAAAACTTATGATCAAGGTTTTCAACAAAAAGATCAGGCCTCGAGTATATCAAGTCGGTGACTTGGTGATAAAACACATCATTCTTCCACAAGGCGACCCCAAGGGAAAATGGACTCCCACCTACGAAGGGCCATTTATTGTCAAGAGAGTTTTCTCTAGTGGTGCCATGATGCTAACTACCATGGACGGTGAAGAATTCCCACATCCCGTGAACGCGGACATAGTTAAAAAATACTACGCATAAGAGACCCGCTAGGTTGACACACCTAGACAAGATAAGGGCATCCCGGCACACCAAAAGGTTTGGGAAAAAATTATGGATATATGCAAAAGATTGTACACCCTACAAGTTGAAAACTCGAAAAGGCGACTTGGGCAAAAATGGGTATCCTGGTGGGCTGAAAACCCGAAAGGGCGGTCCAGGCAAAAATTAAGGATTAAAAGCGTATGACTATGTCTCATATGGAATCAC